TATTTTCTGTATACCAAAAGATAAATGTAAGGGATGTAATGTCACAAATGCAAAAGTCCTGAACCATATGTCTTATTAATTGGTAATAATGTAATCACTGGTGATTATCCAAAATTTAATGTAAGTTGTTCCCGTAAAATTTCTAACTATATTAGCTCTGTTACCAAGGATGATTCAGTTGTTCTAAAGAATCCGCCTCTTGTTATGACATTGGTAAAGTTAAATGATATTTGGTATGATAATAATGCTTGCAAATTTTAAGAGTTATAGAAGTTATCATTAAGAACCAAGAGAGCTGTAGGACTTGTTATTGTAGAAATTGTTTCTCTTATCCCTATGATTGTCTCTACTTCTGCTGCAGCTTCAACACAGGAAGTCCAAATGGCTAAGTTTTTTAATTGGGTTAGTGCATATTGTGACAAAAAATTTAAAGCAAAGGAATGTAGATTCAATCAATTATGGCCTAAAAGTTAAGGGGACGTGGTCAAAGACCAGTGACTCCTTTTGGAGGCCCTTAATAGGCTTATTTCTTTTGGCCCCTGGGCAATTCATAGCCTCCTGTCCCATACAAGTCCATTATCAAAGACTGCAAATGGTCTGGGTTTCAGACCAGCTTTTCATTGGTCTTGAGGGCTTCTATCTGTGCAGCTGGTGGGGGAAGTGTGAGCAGAGACAGGGAGGAAAAGGCTGTTCCAGCCTCCGTATCAGCACCATGTGATTAACGGTCGCCCATTGGCCTCGACACAGTTCACATTTTTAGACTCACTTCTCCCTCGCCCTTGCTGTGTTTCTAGTTCTTTAATCCCCTCTTAAACACACTTTTTCATGAAGTCTTCTAAGTCCCCTGGAATCCTTTCTGAAACATGGATGGAGAAAACAGACAAGGGAACAACGGCCACCATATCAAAGGTCTGAGATTTCTCTTCAGTTGTATTTTGTCAGGTGACATGAAGAGCTTTTTTAAATTATTGAGTAAAACAGTAACACAGAAACCACCACCAACAGAACAAACTCAAGTAAAAACGAGTGTTCTACACTGAGTTTTGGCCCCATTCTTGCACTCCCAAATGCGTGCTGTTAATCTTAACCTCCATGACGCTCGTGGAGACAAAACAATCTCATATAGGAATGGGTTCACTCTGTTATCCTGATGAGACCCTATTACCAAAGGGTGCATTTTAGGTCTGTCTCCTTTGAGATATAGGTATTAAATCAAAGTTGGCAGAGACAGGGAGGAAGAGAGATGCCAAGCCATCTGGACATTGTCCAGGAACAGAAACGTAAAGAGGGAAAGCCTCTCCCTAGGGTCAGCACCCTGAATGCCTAGTGGGTAATGGAGTTACACGGTCCGCCCAAAGTCACTTGAATCTATCAGCTGCTAATGATCCATCATTCCAATCTGCAAAAGAATGCAATTTAAGGGAGCTCTGGTGGCCTAGTGGCAAGAAGTTGCGTTGTAATCCTGAAGGCACATGGATCGAATCAGTCCCTCCCGTACCAGTCAGATCCAACTAAAAGGTACAGGTAAGAGAAACAAAACCAAACCTGGGCTAATATTTCGCATAGCCCAGGCCCTTTCTCTGCCTCGCTGGTCCCTTTAAATACCAGCCAGGTCCACGGAGGCCGGAACTGAGCTCTGTCCCTGCTGCAAGTGACCTTACCGTTTTCCCTTTGACCCACTCGGTGGCCAAGGAGCTGGAGGCGATGGCAGAGCCACAGCCAAAGGTCTTGAACCTGGCGTCCACAATCTTCCCCTTGTCGTCCACTTGGATCTAAAAGAGAGATGAGAGCCAGACTGTGACTCAGAGCCCTGGCCTTCCACAGCCAGGAGAAGGGACAGGAGTGGGGCTTACTGGAGCTCCCACATTAGCCCTGGCTTTACGTTCCACTCTTGACATTTCTGGCACTCATTTGCTGGGCTAGCTTTGTTTCAAGGCTAAATGGAAGATATTCTATTACAGCCATACTTTCAGTCTAAGGTGATAAAGACCTTCAAGAAAACACACCAACCGCTTCCCGCCCCAACCTGAACCTGCTTTTTTGGCTAAGACCTCCTATTTGAGGATGCCTGCTCATGTCTGGCTGCAGGGGCCCATCTGCCTCTTTAAAGCTGGGAGAGTGCCCGACAGACCTCTCTGGTTAGAGCTCATGCTTTGGTCAAAACCAGGTCTCATGGGTCCCTCCAGCTCATTTCTGTTTCTTAAGATAATCAGAGACACCCCTGGATGGTTGCCCGTGCGTCACTGAAGGAGTCTCTGGCTGAAGCTTTGGTGGACACACTGCAGCTTTTGGGGGAGAAGTCTGATTTATTGTATTCCTTTCTCATTGGGGTTTGTGAACTAAACGGCTGTGGTTTCCTCTAATGGGTACAAACTCACAAGATGTGGTGTTTGGTTTTGTTTTTTTTTTGCTGAGCTCAAGTTGAGATTTAAGCTGACACGGGAGCTGTAAGGTAAAAAAGGCTCTTGTTTCAGAAGTGTTGGCAAGTACATGGGCAAGGGGTCTAGAATTCAGTCATTGTTCTGTTTATTTAATGTGAACTTGGCCTGTCTCCCGGGAGTAAAGACGGAGCTCAAAGGAGACACTCAAATATCAATGCTTTATAAATGGCGCAGCTGGGCAGGTCTTAACGCTGCTGGAGCCAGCTACTACCCTCTGAGGCCCAACTGTGGGGCTCCTTAAGGATAAGGGGTCAAGGCACTGCCAAGTCTGCACTACCTTCAAATGACCCACCTTTATCCCAAAGACAACAAAAACCTGTCGTGTACCTGTAATTTCATTACATCACCACAAGCCGGAGCCCCCACCAATCCGGTCCCAACATTCTTCGAGGTCTTATCAAGTGACCCCACGTTTCGAGGATTTTCATAATGATCAACCACCTGTAATGAGAGAGTGGAGAGAAACCAAGGCCACAGTCAAGCGTGTGAACTGCTTGACGGAGGTGGCTGGATATTGAGAACACGTGCTGCCACGGCAACAGGAAGCAGCACTCGGTGGGCAATCTGCCACCTGGTCTCACCGCCATCAAGTCAGAATGGACTCACAGCTGACCCTCCACCAGACCAGCACCAAAAGTTACCGGGGGAAAAAGGCAGACAGACCTACATTCACGTCAGAGAGAATACTCGGTATCCCAAACTATTTTGTGCCTGCTCAGTGGCCTAGTGGCTAAGGATCTGTGCTGCCAACCCCAAGGCAGCCGGTTCGAATCCAACAGCTGCTCTTTGGAAGATGGGAAATCTCTTCTTGTGTGATTTACAGCCTCTAAAAACCCACTGGGGGGTCAGCTGGGAGTCCGCTCTGACTTGATGGCACACTACCACCACAAGAACTCTTACCAACATGTTTAAAACAGTGGAGAAAATCACCTAAGCCATATTTTTGCCCTACCAGATTTTTAGTTACCAACCAAGTTTCCTGATTAGGATCCCAACAGCATTTTTATTATTTCCAAATAAAGCTCATTTTTCAAAGATAATGATTGTGCTCATGCAAAACTTTACCTAGACAAAGAAGCTACTGTCTGAACAGAGCAAGGGGACACTGCATAGTTCAAAATCAAGAAATGTGTGCGTGAGGGCTATATCCTTTCTCCATACCTATTCAATCTGTCTGCTGAGTAAATCATTCAAGAGGCTGGACTGTATGAAGGAATCTGGCATCCGATCGGAGGAAGACTCATCAGCAACCTGTGTTACACTGATGATACAACCTGGCTTGCTGAGAATAAGGAAAACCTGAAGCACTTGCTGCAGAAGACCAAAGATCACAGCTTCCAATACGGATGACATTCAACCTCAAGGAGACAAAAATTCTCAACACTGGTCCAACAGGCAACATCAGGATAAATGGGGAAAAAACTGAAGTTGTCAATGATTTCATCTTACTTAGATTCACAATCAATACTTGTTGGTAGCAACAGTCAAAAGACACGAGGCATTGGGAAAATCTGCGGTCAAGGAATTCTCCACGGTGTTAAGGAGCAACACCTTATTTAAGTTTAAAGACAGATGTGTCTGATCAAGTCGTATCTGTTCAATTACTTGCTCTACTGAAAGTTGGACAATGAATAAGGGTGACAGAAGAATTGGTGTCTTTGAATTGTGGTGCTGAAGAATACAGAATATTGCATGGACTGCCAACAGAACAAACAAATATGTCTTGGAGAAAGTATAATCATTGAGTGTATGGATGGTGAAACTTCGTCTTAGGCATTCTGGACATGTTATTAAGAAGGGACAGTCCTTGGCAAGGGATATCATGCTTGGAAAGGTGGAGGGTCAGCAAAAGACAGACATCGATACAGGGACTGTAACAATGGGCACAAGTGCATCGGATGATGAGGATGGCACAAGGTAGGGGAGGGTTCAGAGCCACTGTCCATGGGGTCACATTCAACTCGATGGCATCTAACAACATAAAAAAATTCCCTAAAATAACTAGATAATCTCAAGAAACTTCAAGGCAACAGCAGGAGATAGAATTAGCATGTGTTCTTGTATAGAAAACAATTTATATATATAAGACCTTCCACTCCTGAATTTTGCTGGCTCAGCAGTGCACTCTAAAGGAGGAAAGGCTCTAAATTCAAGTTCAAGCAAACCGTACTGTCAACACACACACTCCTCAATTTGAGGGCAAGCAGTCCAGGAGCCCTGGCAAAATGCTGAAGCCAAAATAGTGTAAATACCGGTTCAAACTGGTCCCCAGAAGGCTTTGAAAACCTTGAGGCTTGTGACCTTGTCAGGATCCTCATCTTCCCTCCCCCCACATGCTCAGCCCTGGATTTCATTCCAAGCCCAAGGACCCACGGAGAGAAAAGTCTGGAGTCCTCATAAATGTAGACTCTGAGCAATCTCTTGTTGTTTACTTATTTTTTTTTTATTTGAGTGAAAGTTTACCAACCACATTGCGTTTTCATTCAGTCATTCAGAGTCATTATGCTTCCCAACATAAAAACTGGTTAACGGAGTTAATGTCTAATCAAGCAAGAGTCTCTCATCTTTACGGGCTTTTTTTTTTTGACCTGGCTAAAAGAGGAGCTCGCGGGGAGCAAAAAGCCGGCAAGTCCTAATCCGGCGAGACCTCCCAAGAGTCCTGCAGAGAAGTTTAAAGGCTGTGACGCACAACAAAGCAGCTAGCGGCAAAGTCCACCAGAAACCGCCGCTGGACAGGCGACGGCTGTTACTTTTATTTTCACTGCGCAGCAAGGGAAAGTTAGCGGAGCCAGAGATAGAAGAGGGGACACCTCCACCACTGGTCACCCCTGTTAGTCTAGGCAAAGAGGGCCGAAGAGAAGAATGAAGAATTCAGAACTCAAACGCTGATGGCCTTGCTGCTGAAGATAAGAAAACGGCCTTGCCTGTCTGACTAAGCTCGTAAATCAGAGTGGAATGTCCCTCCCTAAAGACTCTGTTTATAAAAATCCGTCCCAGTAAGTTCACAGTGTGACTTCCCATTCTGCCGCTCCAGGATGAGGCACGCACCCGGGAGCTCCCCTTCCACCCCCACCCCCCTTTAATAAAGCTGCATTAAGCTTTCTCTCGTTCTCTCGGATTTCTTCTTTAAGTCCCTTAACCTAACCTAACCTAACAACCCCCAACTCAATTTTCACCCAAACGTTTGGATGTCTGGGTTTCTCGTCCTTCCTCCGCAGATGCAGATCGTCCGACCCCCAAGCTCGCCCTTACGTTCTTGTGATAGAGCCGAGCCGGGGCTGACAGTTCCCGGGCGGGCAGGCGTGGGCTCCGGAACAGCAGCGCAGAAGCCGTCCTCCGCAGACAACCAGCTCCAGCGGACGCCATCTTGCGGAGTCGCGCACGCGCTGGACGGGAAAACGAAGCCTGAGGGAGGAGCGCGCCTTCCTTTTGGCTGATAGGTTCCGCTAGAGCTAGTGTTCTCTTACGTCACCGCGCTTGCCCCTTATGTCACCACGCTTTCGCGCCTGCGCTCTCTGGCGCAGATGATCCGTCGCTTTGGCCACACTTTACCACGCCCCTCGGGGGGCGGGCGAGGCGGGAAGGCGTCAAGTCTAAGGAAAGCTTGTCTTCCTCGAGGCTACCTTCTGGGTGGGAAACCTGGAGCTGAAATGAGGGACTCGAGGGGGTGCGGCTCGGAAGATAACCCAGTCTACCCTCTTTTGCTTTGAGTCTATCCCACCTGAATTTCAGAACCATCTCAGGAACAGGTTTGAGGCTTTGAACACTAATGAGCGAAGGCCAGATGTGTTGTGGGAGGATATCAAGGGTATCATCCAGGGAGAGTGCAAATGATCATTGCAAAGACAGAAGAGGAAGAAAAGACCAAAATGGATGTCAGAAGAGACTCTGAAAATTGCACTGGAGTGCAGAGAATGTTAAATGATCCAGGAAGTATTAAAAGAAGATGGAAGGAATATACTGAGTCACTGTATCGAAAGGAATTGGAAGACACAGAAGAATTTCATGAAACAACATATGAGCAAGAGCCTATGGTGATGAAAGAAGAAGTTCAGGCTGCTTTGAAGGAAATGGCAAAATATAAGGCTCCAGGAATAGATGGTATACCAATTGACATATTTCCGTTAACAGATGCTGCCCTGGACGTGCTCACCAAGTTGTGCCAAGAAATCTGGAGAACGACCACTTGGCCAACTGACTGGAAGAGATCGATATTTGTTCCTATCCCAAAGAAAGGTGACCCAACAGAATGTGGAAACTACAGAACAATCTCACTGATTTCACATGCAAGCAAGATTTTGCAGAAGATTATCCAAAAACGACTGGAACAGCACATCAGCAGAGAACTACCAGAAGTCCAGGCTGGGTTTAGAAGGGGTCGTGGTACTAGAGATATTGTAGCTGATGTTAGATGGATCTTGGCTGAAAGCAGGGAATACCAGAGGAATGTCTATCTGTGTTTCATTGACTATGCAAAGGCATTTGACTGTGTGGATCATAACAAACTACGGCTGACTCTGAGAATAATGGGAATCCCAGAACACTTGATCGTTCTAATGCGAAACTTATACTTGGACCAGGAGGCAGTCGTCAGAACAGAGCAAGGGAACACTGCATGGTTCAAAATTGGGAAGGGCATACGCCAGGGATGCATCCTACCTCCATACCTTTTCAACCTATATGCAGAACAGATTATCCGGGAGGCGGGGCTCTATGAGGAGAAATGTGGGGTCAAGATTGGTGGACGATTTATCAACAACTTGCATTATGCGGATGACACAACCCTGCTTGCTGAAACTGAAGAGGACCTGAAGCGCCTGCTGCAGAGTGTCAAGGACTGCAGCCTACAATATGGATTGAGGCTCAATGTCAAGAAGACAAAGATTCTCACCACTGGACCAATTGGCAGCATCAGGATGATGGTGAAGAGATTGAGATTGTACACAGCTTTAGTTTGCTTGGCTCCATAGTCAACAGTCTTGGCACCAGCAGCCAGGAAATTAAAAGGCGCATTGCCATGGGAAAGTCTGCTGTTAGGGACCTCTCCAAAGTACTGAAGAGCAATGGTGTCTCTCTGGAGACTAAGGTGCGTCTGATACAGGCCATGGTCTTCGCAATCACTTGTTATGTATCAGAGAGTTGGACAATGACCAAGGAGGATAGAAGGAGAATTGATGCCTTTGAGCTGTGGTGCTGGAGAAGAGTATTGAGAATCCCATGGACTGCTAGGAAAACAAACAGATTTGTCCTGGAAAGGGTTAAACCGGGTGGCTCCTTGGAGGCAAGGATTCTGAGGCTCCGTCTAACATACTTTGGACATGTTGTGAGGAGAGACTGGTCCTTGGAGAGGGATGGCGCAGGAGAGGAAGGCCCTCTATGAGGTGGATTGATTCAGTGACTGGGATAATTGGGATGGGAGTGTCAGAGACAGTGCGATTGGCACAGGACAGAGCAGAGTTTAGGGCTGTTGTACATAGGGTCGCTATGAGTCGCAGTCGACTCGACGGCACACAACAACAACAACAACAACCCTGTTTTGCAACTAAAGATGCAGAGATTTTAGTAATTGTTGTGCATCTCTGAGATTTACTAGTACAATTGGGATTGGAACAATCTTGGTCAGAATCCTAATTGCCCGTCCTGGCGGTGACCTCAGCTTTCTAGTCTGTGTTCCTTTTCTGCACCTCCCCTCTCCCATAATATACTTAAATAGGTTTAATCCATTCGGCAAATATTTGTTTCCAATCCCAAGAAGGATGATCCAACAGAATCAGTTGGACAACATCATTAATATAACAGGCAAGAAAAATGCTGCTGAAGAGATTAAAAAAGAGCTAGAACAGTACATAGAGAACGGCGGGAAGTTCAAGTGGGATTTAGAAGGGGTGGGGGTGCGGTGTGGGAAGGATCAAGGATACCATTACTCATGTCATGGCTGAAAGCAAAGGATACTAGAAGAGTATCTATTTGTGCCTTATTGATTATGAAAAGGCATTTGTGTGGATCATAAAAAATTATGCCTAACGTTGAGAAGAATCGTAACCCCAGAACCTTAGAGTGTGCTCGTGTAAATTTTATACCAGGAGGCTGTTGTGCCAACAGAGCAAGGAAACATTACATGTGTTGAAATTAGGAAAGGTGTGTGTCAGAGTTTTGTCCTTTCTTTTTTTTCTATAATTATATTTTATTAATTTT